CAGCTCCTTGGCCCCCATCACCTGGTGCATGTAGGGGATCTGGTGGCGGAAGGGAATGAAGTAGCCCAGGAGGCGTTCCAGCCACCTGGCCCTCAAGTGCTGTTCCAACGCTCGTTGGGATGTCGGCAGTTGGGTTTTGATCTTCCCTGGTTTCCAATGCCGCCACTTGTTGGCCACTGCCAGGACATCCGGGGCCTCAATCGATCCGGAGAGGATCCACTCCTCACGGTCCCGGATGGCCTGTTCCATTTCCAGTGGAGAATAGGTGTACGATTGTCTAGCGCCTGCCGCACGAAACAGAAGTTGCTGCAGGGTCTTGGTACCGAGCTCCAAATCCGCCTCCTCCAGCGGTTGTGGTTGGGAGCCGAGTATCCTTGCGAGGATCAAGTTGTAGGTGTCCGAGGCCACCAGGACGTGGTCATCGTCGGGTGCCATCCCCACGATTCGTGTCCACGGTCGCGGGTCGAAGACCACCGCATCCGGGTTGGCAACCTGGTCCTTTTTGACCCATTCCAGGCAGCACGCCACGAGGATTTCCCCGTCTGACTGCACTGGTGCAAATCCAAGGTCATGCAAAATCAACTGGACCGCGGTTGGGACCCCTAGGAAGGTCGTTCCAAACGGGGAAGGGAGGCGGGGCCTCCACATCATCATGATCCACTCGAGCCCGGAGCCAAATCTCAAGGCGCCTTGCACGCACTTCAAAAGAGAGACCCGGGAAAAGGCCCCGGGGGGCCCCAAGTCCTCTTCCGGGTCTCTCTTTCACTCAATGCATGCGGCAGATCGCTTCTTGGACGGGTCCGGGGTCTTTTCGCGAAGCCGGACGTTGGAGGCCCACATCCACTCCGGAAAGTGAAACCCGGGCGGCCCCAAAAACCCCGGAAAGCCAAACCCGAAAACGGGGGGGGGGGGACCCGGGGAGCCTCCACGGAAAGGGAAAACCAAACGAGGGGGGGGGGGGGAGCCCAGGCGCACTCCGGACCAGCCCAAGCGCGCCCCTTTTTCTCGCCTGGTGCAGGCCAAGGCCTGTGCTGTGCCCGGGGGGGATATCAGCGCCATCGGCAGCTGTCCTCCCCCGGGGTGCCCTGCAATTCCGTTCCGGATGGCCGCAGTGTTGCATGATCACACGGCCCCCTTGGCAATGTCGTCAATGCGCTTGAGCGCCGCCGCCTCCGGGTTCCGGAGAATCAGCTCCCAGATGGCATCTGAGACATGGCCGGTCTGGGTGACGTGGCTGAACCTAAATCGTGGGACTTTCTGGTCCACCACGGAGACATCCCGCAGCGGGGCAGACGGCTCTACCCGGCGGTAGAACTCCAGCCGTTCCTTGACCCAGCGGTTGTACAGTCCATCGGGCGGCTCGTCCAGCACCAGCTGAAGGATGGCCTTGCCGGCCCGGATCTGGAGGAGGCGAGTGCCCCCTCCCCCGGCGCGCCAGTACCCCTTGCAGTACTTGCACATATAGCCCCCCCGGGTTTCCCCCTTCGTCTTGGGGATGAGCTCCCATGGGGTGACTGAGCTCAGAACCAGGCCGCACTCCATGTGCGCCCAGAAGACGTGCTTCGTCTCTGCCGAGAAGTTCTTCTTCTTGTACTCCTTGCCCACCACGCCGTGGACGTTGTCCGATGTGATGGGGGGGTAGACGATCCCCTCATCGCCCTCTCCTCCCCTGGGGCGGATGTCAGGGCCATCGGCACCTGTCCGGCACCCGGGGGCGGAGGGGTCCAGGCCCATCAGCTTGATCATGTCGTTGGTGTAGCCAAGCTTGCGGTAGATGGAGGGGGCCACTGAGTCGGGGACTGCGCCGACCCACCACTGCTTCGTGTTGCAGCGCCAGTTGACTTTCACCTCCGCCAGGGCCCCCGGGCCTCCAATGCGGTCCATGAGGGCCTGGTACACCTCTGGGAACTGCTGGAGACTCTCCACCGGGACCGATATGCGCTCATCACATACCGCCCGGAGGATCATCTGTTCCTTGGAGTCCGCCACGTCCTGGACCGGGAGCTGCATTACCTCCGCCGGGGTGTCCGTGAGGAAGGCCCGGGCCGCAAGGACCTTGCCCATGGCCCGGTAGACCAGGCGCCACTCCGGTCCTGTCTGCGGAAGCGGAAGGCCCTCCTCCTTCAGGAAGCACCGAGCATCTTCCTTCAGGGTCTCCCAGCCTTCCAGGCGGATCTGATTCTGGGCCTTGTTCTTCGGGCCCCGCTGCCTAGGGCCCTGAAGCAATGGCAGAGACTCCCAGACTCCCCAGAGCTGGCGCAGAGTGAAGCTGTGACCAAACATCCCCAGCAAGCCTGGGAGTGTCCAGGACGAGATCTGGCGCGTCCAGTGGAAGTCCTCCTCCGGATCGTGGGGGGCCGCCCAGAAGATGGATCGCAGGTCCTCGGGGTATGGTCGGTCCCCCGCCTTGGCCTGCTGGTTCAGCTCCTCAACGGAGTACCTGGCCCATGGGAGTCCACCCGCCTGGTGGTTCCTGGGATGCGTACCCTTTTCCAGCGCCTCCGGATTCACCTTGGTGAGGTTGTTGGCCCAGTCCGGGACGTGTACGGGCCCCGGTCGTCGGACCCAGCGGCCCGCAAAGATGCGGACCTCTCCGACACGCTTGCTCATCATCCAGCGCAGGACCGCGAGCTGCACCTCCGGGTCCTGGGTGTCCAGGCCCCCCGGGGTGGCGGACGGCTTGTCAGGGCCCTCGGCACCTGAGCTCGTCGCACCAGAGCCCGAAGCTGGGGGGATGGTGGGCTGCCTGTCAGGGCCCTCGGCACCTGGGCGCGCCGCACCAGAGCCCCCCGCCTTTGGAATGGGGATCCCCGCCAGATCCGGCAGATCTGCCAGGAGGGCCCCCGGAAAGGGGTTCCTACCCAGCGAGATGACCGCCTTGGCTTCGAGGTAGGAGTCCGTGAGGGACGTGAGGTCGTCCATGCTGAAATCCCTCCATGCCGTGGTCGGCTCAAAGACCCCTGTCTCAATGGCAACTCGGATCTCGCTAGGCCACGCACTGAATGGAGGCTTGATGGGCTCGAGCATTCTGGTCTCGAGGGCGCCCTTCGCTTGTCTGGCCTGGTGCTTTGCCTTCGCCTCTTCCGCAGTGGTCTGGGCCTGGAGGAGCTCCGGTGTGGGCCTCCCCCAGTCCGCGCCCAGCTTATCCAGCAGTTTCTCGCGGAAAAGGTCCAAGTCCAAATTCTTGAGGAGTTGTCCCCCATCGCCTCCTCCATCGATGGCCCCTCCTTGGAGCTCGTGGAGGACCGCCGCAGATCGCTCCACCGCTGCCACCTGGTCTGCCTTCTTTGCCTCTTCCTGGGCGATGGTGGTGGCGTTGAGCCGGGTCTGGATTTTGAAGGCCTTCACTGCCGACGGGTGGAAGGCCCTGCACTCCTGGCCCTCTTCCTTGTCGCCCGGCAACGGGGGCCTTTCCCCCATTGGGGCCGTCAGGAAATCCTCGTCCAGCTCCATGGGGCAGTTCCTGATCACCGCCCGGACCGAGGAGGGGACAAAATCCGAGAAGCTGGCCTGGTCCAGGTTCTCGCATGCCATTGGGTCGGTGGCCAGCTCGCTGACATCCACCGAGGCGCTGAGCTTGAGGTCGCGGGCCCGGTCCGTGTCAGGGCCATCGGCACCTGCGGACCGGGCCGCCGTCCAGACCGCATTGCCCTGGTCATCCACTGTCAGCTGCCAGTGCGTGCCCGCCATTTCCAGGGTGGCCAAGTTGGACGCCGTGTCGATGGGCTCCGTCTTTTTGCCGCACCCCATACACTTCCTGGCGCCCTTCTTCACCCAGGGCATGGTGCAGCAGGGGCAGATCCAGGATGTGGGCTCCTTACCCAGGGGGCGGTTCTCAAGGCCCCCATACCCCAGGCCAGCGCGCTTGCCAACCTTCTGTCCCGGGGTGCTGAGCAGGGCCTCATGCTCATACTTCATCTTGGCGATGTAGAACGCCTCCACCACGCGCTCCAGGCCCCCCTGCTTGAGTTGGGGGCCCTCAAAGCCTCTCAAGAGCCGCTGGACATCCTTGGCCTGCAGTCGTCGGAGCCTGGCGGCCGTGGTCCCATCAAAACACGGGAAGTCGCCCGCCATCTGGTCCGCACTGAATTGGTAAAGGCCCTCAGAGACTTTGAGGGCCTTGGTGAAGACGCTTCCCCCTGGCGGGGGGGCTGCGGGGTCCTCATCCCCCTCCGAGGACACCTGCGCCCTGGCCTTTTCCATAAGGTCCTGGCGTCCCTGCCACTTGGTGTCGGACATCGGGGGGTCCACCTCATCTTCCGCCAGGGGTTCCTCCATCGGGGGCTCCTCCTCGTCTTCCGCCAGGAGTTCCTCCATGGGAACATCCGGCTCTGGAGGGTCGAGAAGCTCCAGGAACGCCCCTGGGGGGCGTGTCAGGGCCTTCGGCACCTGCGCCACCCCAGGGGGGGAGTCCGCCATCAGCTCGTCCTCGGCCTTACGCTTGGCTGGGATGAGTGGGGCTTGCTCCAGCTCGTCGGCGCTGGAGAAGAACCGTTCGTCCGGTGCCTGAGGGACCTCAGCCGCCAGGACGGTCCAACCTTCTTCCTCCTTTTTCACAAGGCTTGCCAGGTACTTCGCCATGGATGCCTTCGCCTTCGCCTTAGCCTCTGCAACCGCGGCACCAGCATAGGCGGGGGTGTACATGGCTTTGATAGGAGGGGAATGAGAAATTTCAGATTCCAAGACAAAAGGGAAGTGTCCACTTGAGCCAAAATGGTGGCCCAAGTGGATACTTACAAAGAGTCAAGACAAGCGACCACCTACGGTTAACACTTTAGCCCAGAAAGGGCACGGGACCTCGAAAAGGATCTAAAAAGCTAAGGGACCGGATGGCCGGGAGCCACCAAGGTATATGGCCATGGGTCAAAGCCCTGTACCCCCAGTGAACATCCCAATCCCCACTAAAATAGGTTCTAGCCCCAAAATGGGATTTTTTGGGTTTCAACCATGGCCATATGACCCTTTCCCTTATCCACTGGTCGCCTGGAAACCGCTCGCGCCTGCGAGGGGTCCGTGGCGCCCAGAATCTCCTCAAAGCGCTTCCAGGAGACCTGCGGAGTCGCTTGCTCTCCGCCCGCTCAGACGCAGACGCGGTGAAGCAAGTGCGCGCGCGCAGCCCCGGCGGCGAGGCGAAGGAGTTGCGTCTCGAACAAGTCTCAGTTGTTCAGTGACCCTGGAAAAAGAGGGAACCCTTTTTGGGGAACATTTTTAGTGGGGCAGCCACCCAAAAAAACGAAGGGAAAAGAATGGGTGCCACTGAACAACTGAGAAGTGACTGGGGTGCCATAAAACTCAAATAACCCCCTTTGACTCCCCCTTAAAGAAACACCGTGGGAAAAATGGAAAATAAGGCATGACCATTGGAAAATGTTGTTAGTATTTCTTCAGTGCCTTGCATTACACCTGCTTTTACCCCCAAGAAACACGCATCCCGGATGAGGCCTGTATACCCCCTCACAACACACAAGGGATGGCACGCAACAACTATTTTACGCTCGGCTAGCTCGCTCACAAAAGATAAGTACAGTAGTAAAGTGGCCGTGCTTCTTTGCTCGTCCTTGCATGCATTCATGTTTCTTGCACTCATTCCCGCTCTGCGCCAGTTCCTCAAGAAACATCTACCTCCTCCAACGCTTGACTTATTTTCTGTCAAAGGGCTTCTTCTGAAAGGCCCACAACAGCTACTTTTCTTGCTTATCCTGAGCAGGAAAAGAGAAATGCAAGGACCCGAGAAACCATCCCTTGTGGTTTCGAGGTTCATTCCCAACACCCGTCATTCCCTACTAAGCACCAGCAACTTGTTCACCAAGGCCGCGGAAAAGAAGCGAAAGGCAATCGACCAATTTCAGGGGTCCGGCGTTGAATTCGATCCGTGCATTTTGTTTAAACCACATGGCAAGCGGACTCCAGCGAGTTTCAACCAAACACGAAAGGAACACCTCAGCCCAGTGGCCATGGGAAAAAAATGGCACCCTTTTGTTGGTTGAGTTCAAAGTGGACCCTTACCAAGAAAAAGGAGAAAACAAAACGGGCACCACCGGGCAACTGGGACACCTATGGCCACTTCCTGAGCTGGTCAACGAAAACAAACCAAAATCTGCCTGCTTCCATTTCAACCAGCGGGCCATGGCCGATGGAACTCATGGAGGAGCACCTCACCCGGTTCCGGGGTCCGAGGGCAAGTACCCTTTGTGCAGCAAGTCAGCGGTGTCACCTGACCCACTCCTGACCTCGAATGTTGATGCCACGAACGCATGGTAGTGCTGTCATGGCTGGCAGATTGTACTCACCCACCTGAAAACCGATCCTTGCCCGCTTCTCTCTTCTTGAATTAGGTCACGGCCATTATCTGATCTGAATCCAGCTGCAGAGCTGTAGCCACCTCCCTCGCGAGCTTGCGCGCATAGTCGCCCTGTGCCATGTGGTCTGAGTACTTAATCCGTGCCCTGCGACTAGGATGCAACTTCGTCTCCACGCCAGGAATCTAATGAAATAGGGTACAATGTAGTCTAAGATAACATCATAAAACAATACACAATGCAATGCAATAAAATATAGTGTGAGAGTAAATATACAGTAGACCATGTGATATAGCCTAGTACAATAGTACGATATAATAATATGGTGTACTACAATATGATACAATAATTCATGTCAGCATAATATAACATACTGTAATGTAATATACTGTAATGTGATATGATATAATATAATATAACATAATATGTTGTGATATGAAATGATATCATATAAGTCAAACACATCATATTTCAGATTATATGTGTCTTAATAGTATGTTATATTATATTAGATTGTGTCATACGTGTATTGAGTCGGCTGTTTCTTAGCCATCCCCCCCCCCGTGGGGCTCCAGATTGAGCTCGCCTGACTGGGATCGAACTCCACCACGAACCAGCAGGCCTAGCGCTCGTTCACGCCCAAGGGGCAAAACTTGGGGTGAGGAGTGACAAACTCTCCAAAACCTGGGCGAGGTCCTCCAGTACAGAGGTTAAAATAAGGGTACCGTTTCTTTTTTCTGTAGTCGATTTTAGTAGGGGAACCCTCCCAACCAAAAAGGGTGAGAAAGGGCAGTGCTGGGGGACCTAGTAGGCTGGTGATTCAAGTTTTCTCGTTTTTGCAGGTGACCAGCGGAACCACCCTTTGAGGAAAATGCTTCGATACCGACTGTTTAGGTAACTGAGATCCACTGGGTGGGCCAAACTGAGATCCCCCACACTTCCACGTGTTGCTGCTCGAAAAGAGAAAGGAATCGGCGTCTGGCAATGCAACATGGAAAGCCGGGTCTCCCAAAAGAAGATTAGGGTCTTCTGGAGTCCATTTTGGTCTGTGGGATCCGCCCTTTTGTTGGCTTCCGCATCAAACACTTCCAGCAATGGAGCCCCCAATTTTTGGACAGCCCTCCCTGATTCCCAGCGCTACCGATGCTCTGAAGGTAGTGTCTGTCTTTGTTGATCCCCAACCAGCCTTTGTTTTGGACATCTATCCGCCACAACTCGGTGGTTCGTTCCAACTTAAAAGTTGAGCCTTGAGTGGGACAAGCCAAAACAAACGAGAAAATATGGGTGTGAATTTTAATAGGGCACCCTTTGGTGGACATCATTTAGGTGGGGATTCATGTCTACTCATCTCTTTGAGATATTGAATTTCATAGCCATCTATAGGCCAGGAATTTTAGACCCGTCCCCGATGCTGAGGCGTCCATGGCTTCCGAGGGCGCCGACTGGAAAAAAAGGAAAAATGGCCCGTCCCCATTTCGTGTCCCGAAACGGAAACTTCGAATTTACGTCATGGGCAACTTAGTACGCTGGCTGCCTTCCATAGGGGTGTGGCTCAAAATTAAACAGGAGGGGTTACGCAGGTGTTGGTCCATGTTTCCACTTGTCCATTCTGGTACCGGTTTTTGAGCCACAGCCATATGGCAAAGCCAACCGTGCGCAACTACGTACAAAAAACGCAACCCATGACAATGGGTGGGAGGGTAAGAGGCACTTTCTTAATCCCTTGCAATGTTTCGGGCATCCATGTGGCTCTGATGGCATTTTGCCCTGGCCCCACCCCACTCCTGCCTCGCCCGTGCTGCTGAACGCCTCCCTCCTTGGTCGCACCCAGATTGAACAACCTGGATTTGCATATCCCCCCCCCTCCAAATCGATATCTCAATCTATAACTCCGTAGCTTTGTGATTCTATAACTCTACAATTCCATGTATGCAATGTTGAACATATATCATTCTATCTACCTACCTATCTACCCTTCTACCTCTCTGTCTACCTATCATCTACCCGCCCAGCAATCTACCTATCTAGGTATCTACCGATCTATAGCTATGTCCTTCTTTAGCTCTCTAGATCTGTGTGTGTGTGTGTGTCAATGTCTAAACCCATGTTTCTGCCTCTACATGTGTCTACCTATCTGTCTGTCTGGCCGGCTGTCTGTTTCTCAGTATCTCTGTATGTACATTTGTTGTCTCTATACATACTTATACAAAGGTAATTAAAGCAAAACAAAGCAGAGAGTGAAACAAATCAATCAAATTAATCAAGTCAATCAAGTCATTGAAATAAATCAACAGGAAACCAAATTCAGATCAATCAAACCCAATCCAATCGAATGGAATCAAACCAAACCGAACCGATCGATCGATCGATCAATCGATCAATCCATGAACGAATGAATGAATGAATGAATGAATGAATGAATGAATGAATGAATGAATGAATGAATGAATGAATGAATGAATGAATGAATGAATGAATGGATGGATGGAATGAATGGAATGAATGGAATGAATGAATGGAATGAATGGAATGAATGCAATGAATGGAATGAATGGAATGAATGGAATGAATGGAATGAATGGAATGAATGGAATGAATGGAATGAATGGAATGAATGGAATGAATGGAATGAATGGAATGAATGGAATGAATGGAATGAATGGAATGAATGGAATGAATGGAAACAATGGAAAGAATGGAATGAATGGATGAATGGATGAATGGATGAATGGATGAATGGATGAATGGATGAATGAATGAATAAATGACTGAATGAATCAATGAATCAATGAATCAATGAATCAATCAATCAATGAATCAATGAATCGATGAATCAACGAATGACTGAATGACTGAATGACTGAATGACTGAATGACTGAATGACTGAATGACTGAATGACTGAATGAATGAATGAATGAATGAATGAATGAATGACTGAATGAATGAATGCATGAATGCATGAATGCATGAATGCATGAATGCATGAATGAATTGAATGATTGAATGATTGAATGATTGAATGATTGAATGATTGAATGATTGAATGATTGAATGATTGAATGATTGAATGATTGAATCAATGAATGAATGAATGAATGAATGAATGAATGAATGAATGAATGAATCAATGAATGAATGAATGAATGAATGAATGAATGAATGAATGAATGAATGAATGAATGAATGAATGAATGAATGAATGAATCAATCAATGAATCAATCAATCAATCAATCAATCAATGAATCGATGAATCAACGAATGACTGAATGAATGACTGAATGACTGAATCAATGAATGAATGAATGAATGAATGAATGAATGAATGAATGAATGAATGAATGAATGAATGAATGAATGAATGAATGAATGAATGAATGAATCAATGTATCAATGAATCAATGAATCAATGAATCAATGAATCAATGCATCAATGAATCAATGAAACAATGAATCAATGAATCGATGAATCAATGAATCAATGAATCAATGAATCAATGAATCAATGAATCGATGAATCGAGAATCGATGAATCGATGAATCGATGAATCAATAAATCAATGAATCAATGAATCAATGAATCAATGAATCAATGAATCAATGAATCGATGAATCGATGAATCGATGAATCGATGAATCGATGAATCGATGAATCGATGAATGAATGAATGAATGAATGAATGAATGAATGAACGAACGAACGAACGAACGAACGAACAAACGGAAATTCACGAATGAATCAATCAATCAATTCAAATCAAATCCAATCCAATGCAATCCATTCCAATCCAGTCAAATCAATCCAATCCAATCCAGTCAGATCAATCGAATCCAATCCAATCCAATCCAATTAAATCCAATCAAATCAAATCAAATCAAATCAAATCAGTCAATCGATCGATCGATCGATCGATCAATGAAATGAAGTCAGTCAGTGAGTCAGTGAGCCAGTCAGCCAGTCAGTCTGCCTTCCCGCCGGCTCTTCTCTGTTGGTCTGTCTGTCTGTCAAACCACCACAATGGTCAGGTTTACATGGGCCCTCAGTATCACCACCCGGAAAAAAAAGGGAGCGGAGCTCTGGGCATTTGTCCAATTCAAGTGAACATGCTTTTCTTGTGGCCCAGCAACGGGAACCCCTGGTTGAATAACCAGTTGGGCATCCAATTTAAGAAGGAACCCTTCGCTTTGTGGCGTCTTTTTTTCGGGGACTGGCCTTCCTTTTGGGTCCCTTTAGAACCAAACAGGGGTACAAGGACACCCCCATTAGATGGCACTTGAATGTGTGTGTGTGCGTTTTTGGGTTGTAAACCCAAACAAGGGTAACTCCAAAGAAGACGAGCCGCCCCATACATTTGGGAGCCTACCCGGCCAAAGCAACCGGCCAAAGCAGGGCCCCCCGGCCAGTAAGGCACAAAGCCGTTGGTCACGTAGACCGAGCCGCTCTGGGCGGCCACCTTCCCCACGTACAGCGAAGGCGCCTGAGAGTCTCGAAAAATGGACTCTGGTTGCCTCAGACAAATGGCTGTGGATCGAAAACATGTACCAAAATGACACCTTTAGAAGCAAAGACTAAAACCTGCGTAACCCCAGTTGCTTGATTTTGAGCCACACCCAAATCCGAAAATGGAAGTTTGGGACCTCCCCGCAAACAAGTATCTGTTCCGGCTGGTTTCCCTTGAGCACCTTTCTGGGGTCGCAAAAGACCAACTCCGCTTTCCAACAATCATGGAAGTGGACAAAAGGTTTCTTGGAAGAACAAAGCCTGTTGTCCACCTCCATGATTGTTGGCAAAAGGGGTGAACACGAACGAATTCTGATGCCACTGACAACTTGCAGAACCACTGAAATCCTTATAACCGACCTTCTGGATTGGGTGGCAAACTTTCTCCATTCTCTTCAGGGAGCCTTCTCTTCAATTGGGCCAATCCCCTGAAAACATGGGTGATTTCTAAAGAGAACGATGGGCGAAGCGAGTGGGAATGAAACCGCCCGTGAAAAAATGGGGCGGTCCTTGCAAGCGTCCTCAAAATGCCATCCCTTTCGGTTGGTAGCTAAAGACTTAAAGAGAAGCATGCAAACCAACGGTTTTAGGGTACCACTATTTTGCGAAACATCCATGTCACAGAGAAAGGCCACTTTGCTACCACCACCCTACCACTCGGATCCCGGATCCTCGGGCGGAAAATTGGCAAACCTTGTCATATTGAGCGGCGGCACGGAGGTCTCTGCCACCCAACGGAGAAAAGGCGTGCGCGCAGCTCGTATGCTCACGTGCGTGCGCGCAGCTCCTTTTTGCTTTTCAAAGCTCCTGTCTGCTTCTGTCCAACATGGCGACGTCTCACTTCTCGCCAAAGAAGAAATACGGCAGGAAGTTGGCCACGTACTCATCGAACTCATCCTCTGGGGGCAGCAGCACAGACTGGTTGTCGATGAGCAGCAGCAGCAAGTAGAAGAGGAAGAGCAGCACGATGCCAGTGAGCATCACCAGGACGGTGGGGATGCTGTCCTCCTTGGCAACCACTCCTGCCTCCGCGTTCAGAGGCTTCAGCAGGTCCGACAAGCCAGTGCGAATGCCATAGCCCTTAGGCAGAGGGTCGCGCTCGCCATAGGGCGCGGTCTGCTTGGCGTTGCCCACGGGGAAGTAGCCGGCCTCCACCGAGACACCGACCTCACGACCCTGGGAGGGCGAGTTCACGAAGCCCATCTGGCTGCTCAGTGCCCAGAGGCACAGGCCGACCAGCGCGTACAGCCTCAGACGAAGATTCGGCACGAGAATAGAATCGAGGCACGCGGGAATAACACTTGATGGATTGGTCATCCGGACCCAGGTGCTTGTCCTTCCTTTCTACCGGGATAGTCCAGTGTTTGCCTTTGATGCCAGGGAAATAGAGCAACTCCTAAGGGGTCTGACAATTGGCCAAAAAGAGAGCCCGCCCGAGCACCCTCAATGCCAAACAAAATGGTTGGCCGTCGTGTCGCGGGGAGTCCAACCATTCTGTTTAACGTGTGTGTGTGTGTGTGTGTGTGTGTGTGTGTGTGTGTGTGTGTGTGTGTGTGTGTGTGTGTGTGTGTGTGTGTGTGTGTGTGTGTGTGTGTGTGTGTGTGTGTGCGCGTGTGCGCGTGTGCGTGTGCGCGTGTGTGCGTGTGCGCGTGTGTGCGTGTGTGCGCGTGCGCGTGCGCGTGCGCGTGCGCGTGCGTGTGCGCGTGCGCGTGCGTGTGCGTGTGCGTGTGCGTGTGCGTGTGCGTGTGCGTGTGCGTGTGCGTGTGCGCGTGGCGCGGCAGCGTGCGCGTGCGCGTGCGTGTGCGTGTGCGTGTGCGTGTGCGTGTGCGTGTGCGTGTGCGTGTGCGTGTGCGTGTGCGTGCGTGTGCGTGTGCGTGCGTGTGTGCGTGTGCGTGTGCGTGTGCGTGTGCGTGTGCGTGTGCGTGTGTGCGTGTGCGTGTGTGCGTGTGCGTGCGTGGCGTGGGCGTGGGCGGGCGTGGGGCGTGGGCGTGGGCGTGGGCGTGGGCGTGGGCGTGGGCGTGCGTGGGCGTGGCGTGGGCGTGGGCGTGGGCGTGGGCGTGGGCGTGGCGTGGCGTGTGCGTG